ATTTTCAACAGGTGATCATAAACAAAATTTATTTTATACCAGATATGTGAACTTTTTATACAAGTATTATATATCATTCGAAAGCTTATTGAATATACTTTATTATGCATTGCTTAGTTTTTGAAAGCTTTTAATTTTTAAATGGTAATAAAGCATGTTGCCATTACTTTTGGAACACCCTTAGTACAATAGTGGCGACCTGGGACGGTATTTGAATCAACGTAATTTTTCTACGGTAGAAGAAAATGTTTCGATGGACATGTGTAGAGCTTTCATGTCTTTTTAAGGAACCAGGTCAAGAGACTCCCCTAGACATCGATTCTTATATAAGGATCTCACAAGGCACTCACAAGAAACATACAAAATACTTTTCATCTTTTTATAAGTTTCTGATAAGATTCTTACAAGATTCTTGCATAAGATGTTGCACGGAAGTGATAAGAAATTCACTGGTTCTGATAAGATTCTTACAAGATATTCATAAGAAAGTAACGTCTTGTTACTTTCTTATGAATATCCCTTAAGAATTTTACCAGTTTCTTATCAATTTCCTATGAACTTCTTATAAAATTCCTATCTGATTCCGACAGGAAGACTGTCGTGATTTTGCAGATCCAGCGCATACTCTTGTGTTTCCTTATTCAATTTGCTGCTCTCTTCAGTGTTCTTACCGTGCTTTAAAACCATTTCAATCTATTATACTTATTGAATAGGTGCATTTTGCTAGAAATCAGGTTGAAAAGGCGGAATTTATGCAAACGACCGACATGTCGTGTATTCTCACACAATGTTTTTTTCGAACTTCATTCTTTTCCAATAGTCACGATAAAATTGGAGAAGTACATCCAGCCTGCAGGCACTGGACCATGAAGGCCAGTCTTTAGACTGTCCATTTGCGACTTAGATCTAATTACAGAAAAAGAGTATCAAGAAAATTTTATTCAGGTTTGAAAGCAGCAAATTGAATGGAAACACAAGAGTGTGGGCTGGATCTGCAAAATCACGACAGTCTTCCTGTCAGAATCAGATTAGAATTTTATAAGAAGTTCATAGGAAATTTCGATAAGAAACTGGTAAAATTCACCTATCATCTCATATTACCTTCAGGTAGCAGATAATGGGATTATCTGACGTTCTTTAGAAGTTTTTTCATAAAAACACTTTAATGAATGCCCAATCAGTCATAGTCATTCCAAAAACTGCAGGAATCCAAAATTTACGAAAAATTTTACGCGTTTAGCGAATTTATGGCACAAACAGGCAAGAAGCTGCAAGTGTAGGAAAAAAAACACACAGGAACACGCGAGCAAAGCCTATCTTTCCATGGGAATGTACGCTTCCTGCGTGTTTTGCCACAAATTCGCTAACGGTGTAAAATTTTTTGTACATTTTGGAATCCTGCAATTTTTGGAGTGAATATCACTCACTGGGTGAATATATTATAGGTTATCAAGTATGCCGACTACGATTATCATAGTGGTAGCTACACAGGATCCTTCAGAAAGCGGTTTTCTGAAAATCAGTTTTTCAGAAACTCTAAAAAGTAACTAAAATCTTTCTTGATAAGGCATGATTGTAGCCCACACATTTCTGATTACAATGAGACATTTCCCAGCTCTACACGACCTTTCTTTGCAAAGTTATAGAATTTACAAGATAAGAGCCCTAAATTAACTTCTTATTTCTGCAGTTTTGAGCTAATAACGAACATTTAGGGCTTTTCTTGTAAATTTTATAACTTTGCAGAAAAAGGTCGTGTAGAGCTGGGAGATGTCTCATTTTAATCAAAAATGTGTGGGCTACAATCATGCCTTATCAAGAAAGATTTTAGTTACTTTTTAGAGTTTCTGAAAAACTGATTTTCAGAAAACCGCTTTCTGAAGGATCCTGTGCAGCTACCACTATGATATTCGTAGTCAGCATACTTGATAACCTATAATCCACCAGGTTTGGCTGAAAAAGCGATGTGACAGTTCGCGAGGTCCACTCATAAGAGAAGAAACTGGGAAAAAAGTTGAACACCATCGCACTGCACGTCTACCAGCACTTACGAAAGAGAGATATAATGCAAGATGAAGTTGTTTCGTAGAGAAAAAGAAGAGAAGGAAAAATCTTCAATGCTTCAGAGCTCTTTTAAGATAATGTAATGTGTTAGTTGTCCCGATTATGATTAACAAAGTGTGAAACAGAAAAAGAAATAGGCATTCTCACTACAATGAAACTGTTCACCTGATACACCATGGGATAGTCTTTTCCTAGACGCGTTGATGATAAAAAGAATAGATAAAAATTGGTTGTATGAAGAAACAAGAACAGTTTATAGATCTATCAATCCATCATATAAAAGCCAAGTAATTGCTTGCATACAGATTGTTTAATGCCTGCTGGCGACCTTCGAGAAAGAATTCTCACTGTTGGTGCAGTGAAGAAGGAAAAGACAAAGTATTGATAATTGTTGTATTCAGGTTCCTTACAATCATAGAACACAGAATTAGCTTTTTACCAGTTATTATTTTGAAGGTTGATTTTCTACCTTTTCAGCATACAGATGAACAACACAGCAACTATCACTTTAGGGGGAAATCGCGTTTGGCAGTGGTCCGCTCTTTTCACATCAGGCTCATAGTGTTTCATATGTTATCACTTTTATTGAAAAAAAATATTGAATAAAAACAAAACGCCTGAAACGTGCATGCAGACATAACATTATGGTAAGTTTTCATGTTTTAAAATAGCATGATGTAAAAGTAAAATTGAATTGTCATGTACGGTGATTGTACCATCTGCTTTAAATTTTTCACCTTCATCCCCATCAGTAACGACATAACCTTTACTCGTGTCTAGAACTTTTGTCCAATCTTCAGCATATTCTTTCGATGGTAACTTATAATCAATACAACCATGATAAGCATTAAATATAATATAAAAACTATCATCAACAACTCGCACACCTAATGATGTACGTGAACGCATGCCACGACCATTAATGAAAACACCAAATGACTTAGCATAATCATGTTGCCAATCTTCTTCTTGCATATGTTTACCATCAAATTTAAACCAAGCAATATCCTCAATTTCACCATCTTTCACTGGTTGGCCACGAAACCATCTTCGACGACGAAAAACTGGATGACGACGACGTAATTCGATTAATTTTTGTGTAAATGCAAGCAACTGTTGATCACAATTATCCCAATTTAGCCAGGATATTTCATTGTCTTGACAATAGGCATTGTTATTTCCCTGCTGTGTTCGACTTAATTCATCACCTGAAATAAAACGCCGTTAAAAAAATGTATGTTTATTCGTCTTCGCTGCGATGACGAGATTTGTTTCAGAGAACTTTGATCTCGAAGTAAGGTGCGGCTGGTGCCTCTGATATAGCTGCAAACATACAGTTATAACACACTGGAGTCTCAGCGTGCATCTGATTTCGATGATCAATCAAAATGGAAAAAAACCAAATATCGGTTAACCGGAGAAGTTATAGAGTTCAATTTATTATTAAATTTTTACGAAAAATAAAAGTTTATCGATAACTCTATTTAATTGCTACCGCTACAGCATGAATCCCTACAGATATATTGCGTAATAACGGAGAAAGAAATACTCTATTTCAACAAAGGCCTATATACTATGTTACTGAAATTGCTGAAATAATCGAACATAACTGTGAAGATTTGATATGCTGCTGTTAGAGACTATTTTCGATATTGTTTCGAGTCAACATGCGCCAGTTCATCTCAATGCTCGAGAACTAGAAATTTGAAATAAGTCTAATTCTTAGGCAACCCAAAAAAGCCTCATACATCACTGGCTTATTAGAGTCTCCTGTCAGCACCATATGATCTTCATTTTTCAGTTTGTTCCCCATCCACCTGTACATATTTCTCAATAACTCAATGATACTATGCATAGTTTTCGTTTTGTTTTATCTAAGTTTCCGTCCTCTTGTACTATCGTTACGAACAGTGACTCATAGGTAACAGCACGACATATAATAAATATGACGTCTAACCCTCTATCAGAATCTCGGACATTTTTTGATGTCACACACTGATACAAGCGGGATGGTGGATTAGTTCCCATATAAAGTTTGTGAAACAACAGAAGTGAGGAACTCTACTAGAGAATCAGAAGTTAAATATATTACATGTTATGCTGCCTCTGCTAGTATAGGACCGGATCCAAAGTACGTGCAAGGTGGACGTTTGAACGAAAAACCAAAGTTTTTTGTTCTAAATCCCATGAGCTAACCAAATACTCTGATATTTGGACTATCTAATCGTAAAAATTTTTTCGGTAGGGCTTCACTTGAGTGCGTCTCATTTGAGCGCATTCTCATTTTAGTGTGTCTTAGTTTAGTGCCTCTTCAATTACACAACTCATCCCTCAAAATATTTTTAAACATTTGAATTGTTTCCGTCACCACTGTCTGAGATTTATTCCAGTGGTTAGTAATCTTTTATAGTAAAAAAAGAAATAGCGTAGCTTACAGTATTTTTGAACAGCATCATCCACATACTCTTGCTGCAGACCGATATTTTGAAGACTATGTTATAAGGCCTGATTGATATCGAAAGGTTCTCTCTTATCCGCCCTTTGAACTTGTAAGAAATTTTCTCCTGAAAATTTCTCGTTTTTTGACTGTACACAATTTTCCATATTTATCCGGAATATAAAGTTTTCGTAACGACGTTGGGAGCGGTGATTCCTTCCTTTTATATCTTGGATCTCGGTCCTACGAATGTGGATTCCTTTAAGAAGACAGACGTTTTACAGATATAAGCTCCCTCATCATTATAATAAGAGTTACTTACTCAAATCTGGTTCATATAATCCTTAAGAGTGTTAAGACGACGAGGACAACCATATTCCCGACATTTCCATGAGATCGATTCTTTTTGATGGCGTTCAATTCTATAACTATATCTTTCAAATTGAACTGCCTGTTTACGAAGGCCTGTTATTTCGACTTTAGCCATATTGCGTGGCTTAGAAAATAGAAGATCTTACCAGGTAAAAAGAGACGGTGACTGACTGCTATGTGAGTGCATTCTTCAAATTGATAGATTTTGAAAGTGTCTGGGTCAAATTAACCTGCATGTTGACTTTCACAATGCATAATGGTTTAGAGAATATATGAACGTAGATATGTGTTTACTCTCCTTTTGTTTGAAATTCAGATGCGACACATGTATCTGTAATCGAAAAACTTTTCTTTTAATTTGCATTCAACAGAAGTCGTATAGCAGTCACCGTTTCTTTGTACATCATCTGATCTGTTCTTTTCTAAGTCAAGAAATATGGCTAAAGTTGAACAGGCCGTGGTAAATCAGCAGTTCAATTTGAAGAATATACAGTAGACGTCATAAGTCTCGCGCTACTTTTTTATTTGACTCGTGTATTAAAACTACACAACATTAATTTAATTATATGTCTGTATAGTAGAGGTCGAGTACTATATATATATACACCTGTTTAATATGAAAAATCCTTGAATATAAAATGTAATAAAAAGAGATAAAAGTCAGTCCTAAGAAAAAAATAACATAAAAAAGGCGAAATGATATTGTTGTTATAGGATACTTTCACGGACAGTGAACCACAAAAAACACAAAGTATTCAGAAAACTTCTCATTTTATCAGACTTTGTAGAGCGTTTTTCGCTGATCATTTTGGTAAAAAACATTTTGGATTTCATTGAGAAATGACGGTGTTACAGTCAAAATACTAAACACTGTGAAATACCGGGTGTCCCAAAATGTTTGCAACATAGTTTGTTTTGCGAATATCTCTGCACAGGCAAATGACAAAATCTTGATTTTTTTTTCAAAAGATGCGTCATGAAAAGTTCTACAAAACTATAAGAACAAATCCTTATTGACTTGTTCACATGGTTTCTTCCATACTCGAAATGAAAAAATAATATATGAGAGTGCTACTTCCCACCGTATTTAACATAATAAGAATGTTTGGAAGACTGTTATATTTTGCATGTATCTCAGCTTAAGAAAATGGTAGCTCCTTGATTCAAAAGATGCGCCGTCGAAAGCTCTATAAAATTTGTATAAACAATTCCTATTGTAAAACAAAAACGTCTTTTTTTTTACAACATTTTTATTATCATTTTATCTTTTATTATTTCATTTTTTTCTCAATACTGAACTTCGCTTTTTTTTTTATTGTATTTTATATTCAAGGTATAAAATTTTGTATTTTCGTATTAAACAGGTGTATATATATAGTACTCGACCTCTACTATATAGCCATATAATCAAATTAAATTAATGTTGTGTAGTTTTAATACACGAGTCAAAATAAAAAAAGTGACACGAGACTTATGACGTCTACTGTAGAATTAAACGCCATCAAAAAGAATCGATCTCATGGAAATGTCGGGAATATGATTGTCCTAGTGGTCTTAACACTCTTAAAGATTATATGAACCAAATTTGAGTAAGTATCACTTATTATAATGAAAAGCTTAAATCTATAAAACGTACGCCTTCTCAAAGGAACTTCACATTCGCACGGACCAGATCCAGAAAAAACTTGTTGTTGAAAAAGTTGTAGTTGATATGAAAAAAAGATGTGAGCATCAACTTCCATACGCTGCTTTTCAAGCATCAAGTCAAGTTGTCACTGATCCACAAATAGCAGCCGCCATACCCAGTTTTGAAAGTCTTAGGTCTACATTATATCGACAGAAAGGAAATAAAAATGAACCACTGACACCAACATCGTTGCGAAATCTTTGTATTCCCGATAAATATGGAAAATTGTGTACAGGAGAAAATCTCTAACAAGTTTAAAGTTCAGGTAAGAGAAAACCTTTCGATTTTCTTATTCTTAAATGCTTTCATGATATGTGGTACTCGCGACAGAACACGGGCTTCGTTTGTTGTTTAATGCTACAGCAGTCCATGTTGATGACAACTTTAAAGTTGCACCAACGTCACAGGCCGGTGGAACACCTTTTTACAGAATTATTCTCATTTTTCGATCTATTCCATAATAAACTATTACCATTAGCGTTTGTCTTTTTTAATGAAAAATCGGGAAAAAAACACGCACTAAAATGAGACGCACTTATATGACTGATAACGGAAAAGCTTGTCCTAGAAGTGCAAAACAGAAGCTTTTTCAATAGAGAACTTGAGTAAAAATCCAAAATTAGTAATATTGGGCAACCATTTTTGTGTCAGCTAAGTCATACGCTTTGCAGCTAATCTAAACTTCATCATTTTATTTCTATTTGGATATTCTGACTGATCATACAGTCATTACTGCAAAAAAATTTTATTAATCTGAAGTTGAGTAAATAGTCTCAAAAGAAGTAAGTGATGGTTATATGAAAATACAAAATAGTAATCTATCTCTTCGAAAGGTATATGATCTTAAAAAAATGTCTTTCTGATCTGGAAAAACCTGCAAAAGTTTCTGAAGAAAAAGCGAGCTAAGCACTACCTCGGATTATTGTGCAGAAACCACACATATCCAGCAAAATTTCTTTTTCCTATCTTCCACTCATTTTTTGCTGAACATAGTTTAATAAAGAGGAAAGTCTAGTCTATCAAATAAGACCACTCGCAGCTCTCCATAAGTTTCGTTGAAACAATTATGAAGTTTTTAAGCTTTTCCGTCAAAGCCTCGAAAATCTCAATTTTTTAGGTTTCTCTTCATTCCTATATATTCAAAATTCTTTTTTATACTTCGTAGGATAGAAGGAGTATGGCCTTCAAAATCAGACATCTGCCAGAATCTTTCGATGAGTTTTCGTGAAGATATACGCAAAACCGCAAATGCCCTAAAAAAAACAGAGCCTTATGTAAAATGTGTTTTTCTCACTATGCGGTTTTTCGATAGTCCCTTTCATAAAAGAAAAAATGCACTAGCTCTGTTATCAAACAAGTATTCAACTCATAACTTTTAGTAGCGCCGTAGAAAATCAAAGAACAATTTCGAAACATATATTATTCGACTCGGTTGTCGACGCAAATTCTGAATATGATATTTTTATTGCATAAAAAATGAATTCTGATGAAGAAAATAGAAAATTACGGCCAGAATTCCGATATTTTCGCTCCTGATTCAGAAAGAATTTACTTTCTCAGGAATGAAACAAATTTTTGAAAAACGCGATACGTACTTTTGTTCGCCTTTAAATGCTGATTCAAATGGTGTATGACGATCGAAGAAAAGTTTCAAAACCAAGGAGGAGATAGGCCTGCGAGAGAGGCAGCTCATTTTGTCGAGCGCTTAGTGTTGTGAAAATTGTGTAACACAGGTATTTTGTTTTTTGTGGCTCAAAGTTACACGAGTAGACTCAGTTTTTGATGGTGAATCCGAATATATCAAATTCGAAAATTACAGTGAACGGAAGGTGGCAAAATCTCAAGTTTCCTCAGAGGAGTGCAAATCTTTTGTTCTGTTTTGTTCCTAGTATTTGGAGGATTTCTCCCAGAAAACTTGATCGAATTCGAATCAAAAGGGAATATTCGGCATCAGCTCAGTTAGGGCTATCCGATTATGTAGCTTTCGACCGAAAATTAAGATAGTGTTGCATTTTTGAATGGCAGGCACCTTACAAGATCTTTTTTTTCTTCTCAAATATCTCGAGAAGGAAAGCATATTTTTGGAAAAGAAAAATTTACATTCTAAGATAGAGTCTAAAGTATCTGTGGTAAAAGGTTCAGCTCGATCGCACCATTTTTTCCAGTAGTCGTAATGTGACCCGACTGAAGGGACTATCGAAAAACCGCATAGTGAGAAAAACACATTTTACATAAGGCTCTGTTTTTTTTAGGGC